TCAATATTATTTAAAAACATGAATACCCATTTATAACCATTATTTCTAAATCTACATTTTGTAATGTTTTCTCATCTAATAATGACTTTAATTATCTTTTGGGGGGTAATTTCTCAGCAAATATTGATGTGCATTTAATTTGAAATGATCTAATTAATTGGCTAATGCTAAATGAATTACTGCAATTGTAAAGCTTTTTCAAAGTAAACTGGGATCATTCTTAGTCATGTGCGCTATATAAAGCAGAGTGTTTATTCGTTTAGCCTGGAAACAAATTGTAGGCATAAACAAAGCAGAATAAGATTGACCATGCATTACAGGTCACTAGCGCTCTCTGAGTTTATCAGCACCCACTGGGTTTAGAAAGTGACTTGTGCTGTAGTCTTCATCTTTGCTGACCAGCCGCCCACTATCTGGTGCATATTGAGTGCTGCAGGGACGTTCACATTGACAGTAAGTAATATTCCAAAATTGCTTTTTATAACCGATTACAGTTATTGCCTGATTTCTGATCATGTGACACTGAAGACTGGAGTAATGATGCTGAAAATTCAGCATTGCATCACAGGAATAAATTACATTTTACAATATATTCAAATAGAGAGCAGTTATTTTAAATTGTAAAAATATTTTACAATATTACTGTTTTACTGTATTTTTGATCAAATAAATTTAGCCTTGGTGAGCAGAAGAGACTTCTTTCAAAAACATCTAAAACACCTTAGCATCATAGTGGCGACTTTTGTATTTTCCTTTAGAAAATGTATGAATCTAGTTAATATTGTTGAAAATGCTATGCAGAGTGCCGTCATGCTCAGCTTATTTCTGACTGATGTCAGTCTCTTGTTCAGTCATTCTTGAGTTGTAAAAGTTCATTTGCACTGCAAGTCTCCAGGTATCACAGGAAAATGCTGATCCTCGTGAAGTAGCCTGTGCTGTTTAAAGTTTTGACAGTCGCTGCATTAAAGAGCTTAATTGCCCAGTTTTGACTCAAAAGTAAGCAGTATTTTTTTGTTTTGTTGAACTGAGTAAAAGGTGTCAGCACAAATTACAATGAAGTAGAGACTATGGGAACAAAACAAGACCATATCCAGCAGTTTTTAATTATACTCTGGAGAGAGAGAGAGAGAGTTAACAGTGCATTGCCTATTCAGGAAGACATCTGTGGTACGTTTTTCCTCTAATAATCCAAAAATTAAGATTTATATGTATATGCAAATACATATGCATGTGGTGTAGCACTATTTAAAGGTTTGGGGTCTGAAAGGAGTCTCTTCTGCTCACCAAGGCTGCATTTATTTGATCAAAAATACAGTAAAAACAGTAATATTGTCAAATATTATTACTATTTAAAATAACTGTTGTCTATTTGAATATATTGTAAAATGTAATTTATATATGTGATGCGCAGCTGAATTTTCAGCATCATTACTCCAGTCTTCAGTGTCACATGATCTTCAGAAATCATTCTAATATGCTGCTCAAGAAACTTTTCTGATTATTTCTGAAACTGTGATGCATTAATTTTTTTTAGGATTCTTTGATGAATAGAAAGTTCAGAAGAACAGCATTTATTTGGAAAATAAATCTTTCGTAACATTATGTCTTTACTACCACGTCTGATCAATTTAATGCATCCTTGATGAATATAAGTATTATTATTATTTTTTTAATCTTACAGACCCCAAACATTTTAATGGTAGTATATACAGTATTACATAAAACCACCTCAGTTATATCTGTTAGGTAGTATGAACATTTCATGTGTAGTTTATCAAAGAAATGACTTATTTTAATGATGATGAAGGTCAGGTTAGTGTGTAGCGTTTTCTCTGTAATTAACAGCTCGTTTGAACTCACTTTAATAGAGATGGGCACTTAAACATCATTTAGTATGTGAGAAGTGAATAAATCAGTACAGTATGCTGCTTCATGTCCTGAGAAATTGCTTTTATAGCCATCAAAGGTCACATGTCAGAAGACACAATGAATATAAAGGGAAATCATTCAGAGACTAAGTATTCAAGTCGCAGATATCTGAGGCAAAGATTTAGCGTGTAATGAATTCAGTGATGATTCCGCCACCTGTTCAGCTCTACGCTGCTTCGTGACTTTACCCACAATCCACGGCGTGCTAAACAACATGAAGAACGCCGCCCTCCGTCATCAGTCCATGCTGGAAAACAAGCAAAAGAGAATATTTTACTCTCTACTTTCTATGCACTCCTGTTGTCTCTTCTTCTGAATCTAAACAATTCTATGCATATATTTTAATAAAAAAAGATTGTTGAGGCCAAATCTCTCCAGGTAGTTTGTTCAGTTAATTCACATTTATATTTTAAATCTTTTTTTTTTTTTGCACATAATTTATATCATAACCCACATTCATACATTTGAAGATGATATGAAGAATTATCAATGAATAGAATTATAAATGTCCACTGAAGTAGGCTGTCGAATAAAATACGTTTGAATAAAATGCAATCGAAGAAATGATCAAAAGATTAATTGATTATCAGTGTAAATGTCATTTTTTAACATAATATTGTTATCAATGTTGCATACAGTTTTTGAAGAATATTGGGCTTTAATAACATGTTTTTAATAAAATAAAATAAAAAGATATATAATAATAAAAAGGCTGTTCTATCTGCTGTAATTAATTGAAGAAATAACCAAAGATTACTTCTAAAAGAGAACTTCTAAAATGTTTACATTATATTATTATATTGAATACAATTTGTGTGTGAGATTTTTGGGCTCTGAATGTTGAATAATGTTCTTTAATGAAATAGAGAAATTCTTTGGAATTTTTATCTACCGTAATAAATTGAAGACATCAGAAAATTAATTGATTATCAAAATAAATGTTCATTGAATTCCTTTTTTTAAAACATAATATTGTTACATATATTTCACACAGTTTGCTGGTGAATATTGGGTTGTGGATGTTGAATAACATGCCCTTTAATAAGATATATAGAAATATATACATTTTGTATCTACTGTAATTAATGGAATAAACAATGAAAAACATATATGTGACCCTGGACCACAAAACCAGTCATAAGGGTCAATTTCTCGAAATTGAGATGTATACATCATCTGAAAGCTGACTAAATCAGCTTTCCATTGATGTATGGTTTGTTAGGATAGGACAATATTTGGCAGAGATACAACTATTTGAAAATCTGGAATCTGAGGGTGCAAAAAAATCTAAATATTGAGAAAATCATCTTTAAAGTTGTTCAAATGAAGTTCTTAGCAATGCATATTACTAATCAAAAATTAAGTTTTGATATATTTACGGTAGGAAATTTACAAAATATCTTCATGGAACATGATCTTTAATTAATGTCTTAATGATTTTTGGTATAAAAGAAAAATCTATAATTTTGACCCATACAATGTAACAATATGTAAATATTGTTGAAAAACAGCGACTTAAGACTGCTTTTGTGCTCCAGGGTCACATATAATTTTCAAAAGAGTTACGTATATTGTTACATAAAGCAAATATTTCTGACATGCATGTGACATCCAAATAAACAGCAAAACCTTTATGGAAATGTGAGCCTGCAGCAAAGACCTCACGCAGGGAGAGAGAGTTTGCGGTGACAGTGATGAAGGGAATGTGTTCAGTCTCGGTCTCTATTTTGAAATACGAGACCATTAGTCGCAGGTTCTGGGATCTCATCCAGACACTTCTCTCTCTTTCTCATTTTTGTGGTATATTGCCAGCAGCCAATATGATTCAATCCATTCAGCAAAAAATGCTGCCATTTATTATACCAATTAATTTAGGTGAGAATATCTTCTTTGTGGATGGGAATTACTGGCCGGATGTTAATGTGACAATGGACTGTGCTATTCAGAGCACATGTTGTACATGTTCAACATGATTTATATATGAATGCAACTGCAGTCTGTGTTCTGTACAGAAGATATGGAAAGTCTCTGTTGCTGCTTGTGATGAGGGCAAAAAACAGTCATGTCTTATTTCTTTATAGTTTTTGTCATCCTCTTAATGACAGTGAGGTCTGAATGGTGTTGCAGTTGATTTGATGGCATTTTTTGCATTAATTATTCACTGCTGTTCAAAAGATTGTGGCTGGTAAGATTTTTTAAAATGTTTTTGGAAGAAGACTTTTCTGCGCACCATGGCTGCATTTATTTGATCAAAAATACAGGAACAACATTAATATTGTGAAATATTATTATGTTTTTAGAAAAGTGTTTTCTATGTGAATCTATGTTCAAATTTAATTTATTCCTGTGATCAAAGCTGAATTTTCAGCATCATTTCTCCAGTCTTCAGTGTCACATGATCTTCAGAAATCATTCTAAAATGCTGATTTGCTGCTCAAGAAACATTTCTGATTATTATCAGTGTTGAAAACAGTTGTTCTGCTTCATATTTTTCTGGAAACCATGATACATTTTATTTTTCAGGATTCATTAATGAATGGAAAGTTCAAAAGAACATCATTTTTTACAATTTTAATATTTTTAATATAATTTTTACTGTCACTTTTGGTCAATTTAATGCGTCCTTGGATGAATAAAAGTATTAATTTCTTAAAGATATGAATACTAAAAAGATACTTTTTAGTTTTAGTGAATATGTTTTTATTATTTTTCCTAGTTTTTATTCATTTAAATTTTTTATTTTTATGTATTTTTTGTATTTTTATTTTTCACTTAAAGTTTAACAATTAAATATTTTTAATAAAAATGTTGGGTGTCTTTGTTATTTATATTAGTATTTTTAGAAAATGTTGGAAATGCCTTAGAAACTAGCTAAAATAAAGTATGTTTTTTATAAAAAAAATTTATTCCAGTTAACATTTATTTTATTGTGATTAATGAAAATGTTTTTTGTGAATGCCTTTAGTTTTAGTCGTAGTTCTATAACAACTCTGGTCTGTGATGTACTTCCTGAAACCCTCTGGAATCGTTGTTCATCTGGGATGTCATGTCTCTGTGCTTGTGTCTGTCAGAGTGCCGTGGCCATGTACGATGGGGCGAGGGTTCCCTCCCCTGAGGATGCCGCTAACGGAGTCCCGCTGCAGCCCGAGACCCCCGCAGCCACACGTCCCAAAGCTGACGAGCAGCCGGAGGAGAAAGAGGGAGTCCCGCCTGAGCCTGTCCTGGTGAAGAAGGCTCACCGTGAGATTCTGGACCATGCGAGGAAGAGGAGGGTGGAGCTGAAATGCATGGAGCTTCAGGAGATGATGGAGGAACAGGGGTGAGTGAGTCACTGATAGGACCATATATGTGTGTGTGTGTGTGTGTGTGTGTCTGTGTCTGTGTCTGTGTCTGTGTGTGTGTGTGTGTGTGTGGCTCGGTTCCAAAACCTAGTAAGCGGCCTTGTTGTCTATTATCAACTTCTTGTCTACTATATCCAAAGGACATCCTAAATGGACAGGAGCCTCATAAGTGACTCACCAGTGCTGGTATTGTAAGGTAAAACTAAAACTATACAACATTCTGAAATCATTCATTGAAATAAAGCTGATTTAAAATAATTCTACACTTATAAAAACGTACTTAATATTGTGACATAATACTATAAGTCTCTTTATATTCTACATTCTACATTAGTTTTTGTGCTTACAGGAAAAATAAACAGTTTAAAGTCGAATTTAAATGTAATTCAAATTTTTGTTGAAATAATGCGTTTAAGTTGCAAATTATGCAATCAAGTCAGTCCCTCTTCATTCTAAACATTGTCTGAATTTGCATATAAATGAATATTTTGCAATATGCTTCAAATAAATTATATTTTGTGCTTATAATCAACAACTTAAAGTCAAAATGTTTATATTTGTTTTATATTTGGCATTTACATTGATTCCATTCACCTTCTTCACTGCACTGGAAAAAACTATTTTCTTTAAAACAGTTTTCTCTAAGAAATTGCTAGTAAATTTCACAAATAATTACAAAGAAATGGCAAGTAACACATTGAATAAAACATGGCATTTTGAAGTAGAAAGACTGAAATAGTATTTTCTTATTAAACGTACTCCAATAATCTTTATTTTATTTTATTTTATTTATACTTCAATATGACTACAATATTTGCATTTTTGATTTTTTTTCGTGCATGAGACGTCACATGAACAGCAAAGACATGAAGGAGGATATGAAATCACAGTGCATTGTTGCCTGTGCTGTTGTTTTATTTAAAGTAGTTCTTGCATTATTTCTGAAGCAGAAATGCAACGGTATTTCTTCATGCACTGAGGTCTAAACTAAGCAAATACCAGAACAGAAACACTTGATTTTATGGATTGTTGCATTCTGAAATGTGTCAGAGCACAATTCATAATTCACAATTGCATTCTCAATATTGCCACAAAGTCCTCTTCTGTGGTCAGTTTTAATTTTCAAGTCAGCTATTGTCTTGGCAGTGCAACAATTCAAAGAGAATCCTGCAGGGTGAGTTCGTTAAAGTGCTGACATATTAAGCTAACTAGTTACCTGACTAACATATCTGGTTTAAAGGCACAAACTATCGAAGGAAAGTGTATCGGTCCTTTGAGTACTGATTGTGAATTTGAATTGAATCGACTGCACAGGAAGTTGGATTGTAATTTGAATCGGAATGACAGGAAATGTAATTTACTGAATTACAATGAAAAGAAATTCAACATTCTGGGAAATTAATTGGTCTTCCACTCTGATCCATAAAAATTAATTTATTAAATATGATGAAATATATACATTCCCATTCAGACGTTTGGGGTCAGTAAAGAAATTACTTTAATTCATAAAAGAATCACGTTTATGAAGCAGCACAACTGTTTTCAACATTGATAATAATATTAAATATTTCTTGAGCAAATCAGCATATTAGAATGATTTCTGAAGATCATGTGACACTGAAGACTGGATTAATGATGCTGAAAATTCAGCTGCGCATCACAGAAATAAATTATATTTTACAATGTATTCACATAGAAAATAGTTAATATTTTATTTATATTAATATATGAAATTATAATATTTCACATTATTGCTGTTTTTACTGTATTTGTGATCATGAATGATTACTGAATGTAAAACTGGTAACTAAACTAAATAAAAGCTGAAATAAATATATGATATATTATGTAATATATTGAAATTAAAATCATATATAAATGATAATATATATAATATTTTCATCTATATAAATATTAGATGAAAACTTGCAGTAATGCAGTCAGTCTCTCTACATTATAATGTGATAAGAATTTGCATATATTTGAATATTTTTGCAATATACTTCGTTATTATTTTTTTGTGCTTTAACTTGGTGAGCATAAGAGACTTCTTTGAATAACATTGTAAAATCTTACTGACCCCAAACCTTTGAACTGTTTAAGTGGTTTTAACTAAATACAGCCTTTTTTGTAGTTAAAAATGACAGATTTGTGAATTTCATTTCATTTGAATTCTCCTTCTTTAAAAGTCAATCTCAGGCCAGTTCTGAGCGCTCCACAGCGCTGCAGGAAGCAGTAAAGCAATTGGCCTGTAATGCTGCTGTATTTGTGATGTGGCCTGACTGACATCTGCTGTAATCTGCAGACGTCTGCGCTCGGCCCGCGTCTGACGGCCTTCTGAAGCAGCTCTGAGTGTCTCTAATTAAACAGCAGCTGTGTGACCTTGAGGCAGAATGAATGATGGTGATAAAGCACACAAACACTGCCGCGGGGGAACCGGCTCAGTGCACAAAAGCTGATGAAAGATTTGCTTCAGTTCAGGATTAGAAATCTGCTAACGTGCTTAAATGCTTAGTGAATGAGGTGCTGAGTGGGCCTGAATTTCTGCTTCCATTCATCAACACACATCAGAGAAACAGAGGAAAGCATGTTTGGTTTATCAGCAGTTTAGTTTTGCATTCCATGTGTAGAACGGATAGTTTCAGTCCTGTCATCTGATTGGTCAATCCAGTGATCCTGTGTATATCACTGCACAGCTGCCATAGAGAGACTATAAACATTAGTTTACACTAGATTACTAGTGGAAGAACGACACCAATCTTGACAAAGAAAATAAGTTTAAATGAAAATGGGTGTCCTTAATTTTATTATAAGGGATAAGGGATAGTTCACCCAAAAATGAACCTTTCAATTTTTTTTATTTTAAAGTATTTTACTGGCATGATTGTGTTTATACAATATTGCAGAAGCATTATATGCAAAAAATGACAAAAAAATAAATATACAGTACAATATAACCATAACAAAAACTGTTATAAAAAAGATTTTAAAAAAATATGAAAGTCAATACAATGAAATTCAGTGAGGTCCAGTGTTATTTTAGTATTATTTATATTCTATTATAGTATTTATTTATATTTTGAATCAGCTTTTTTTTCAGTTTTCATTTTAATTTTAGTTTAAGTTTTAGTCAACTTGTTATGTGCTTTTATTATGTTTATATTTCTTAGTTTTAGCCATTTTGTACTTTATTATTTTATTTTATTTCAAGTTTTGCAACTAATATTTATATTTAATTTTATTTCAGCATTATTTCAATAAAGACAATTATTTTTAATAGCTTTTGTTTTAGTTGACAATAACAACACGGAATGACATAAGTGAAAGTAAATGATGACAGAATTTTTATTTTTATATGGGTGAATAGAATAGAATAGAATAGAACCAATGCTTGTCAAAAACCTAGTAGAATATGGCCCCTTTAAAAGCGAACTGTGTAATTTCTGCACCAATAGCGCCAACCAGTGGAATTATGAAAATAATGACTGTTTTCAAACAGGTTTCCCAAAGATTGCACATCTCTCTGTATAAAGTCACATGTACAGTATGAAGACCATCTCAACTTTATTTTCATTCTCTGCATCCTCTTATTAGTGGAAATGGATTTTTGCTTGTTAGGAGCTCTGAGTAATAGTTATTAGATTGATGACGATGTTGTGGAGCAGGATGTTGGAGATGGAGGAGGGTGGTGGATCAGCCATCTGGCAGCGCGCACACACACACACACACACACTCTGCATGATGACTAATTGTGCTCTGCTTTAGGATATGTTGGGTCTCCATATGTTCGCCCCGGTGTGAGTAGCGGCAGACGGCGTGCAGCTCTGTGAAAGCCAGACGAGCTCCGTGTAGCGTTTGCTGAAGATCTGGTTTTCTTGTGTTAAACATGCTTCAGCGGTCGCTCTGTTTGTACAAGAGACCTCCACCTGTCATCCTTGAGGCTTTTTAAATGGACAGTGCAGCCAAAAATAACATTCTGTCATCATTTACTCAGCCTCATGTCGATCCAAACCCGCATGACTTCATTCCTGCAACGCAAAAGAGTCCTTCAAGCTGTTTTACATACAAGAACTAAAAAGCAGCATAACCGTAGCCAGCATGACTCTTGCGCTGTATAACAAATCATATGATAGTTTTGTGTGAGCAGTATTATTTGCTGAAAAACTTGCTCTTCATTGTTGCGCTCGAATATCATTATTCATTTATGCGCATTCAAATGTGACTCCTGAAGTTGCATCACTTCAAGTTTGACTTAATGTGCATCTCGTGATCAAGTTTGAAGAAGCGTAATGAGATTTGAGAGCTTGTAGAACCAAGAATATTGTATAAACAAGAATATATATAACCAAGCATGTTAGGGGTATATAGAAAGAAAAAGACAAAAAAAATCAGAAAAACATTTGACATTTTAAACAATTGCATAGTTTGTATTTTGTACGTTTTTACTTTTAGATATAGTTTCCAAATACATTTAAATGTCAGTTTTAAATGGTTAAATTCTCTCAAACCAGTTGCAGTAGCAGTATATGGTATTTAAGAAAGACAGTCATAGGTTTGGAATGACATGAGGAAGAATAAATGATTTCTAGGTGAACTGTCCCTTTAAATGAAGGGCTTGTCTCTATGCATCAGAGATCAGCGAGATGCAGGATAATTGCAGGGGTGTTTCACAGAGAGCGGCGGGGGAAATCAATGTTATAATGGCGACTGGAGGCTCTTCTCTGATGCTGTGGATATAAACCGATGCGACACTCCTTAACAATTTAACCTCTTCTATACAGCCTGCCCCAACACACACACACACACACACACACACCTACAAGCGTTTGTGCTTCACGCGTCTTGTTGAGCAGAGGTGTGCTGTTACTCCAGTAAGGAAAGATGCAGTTCATTGTGTAACTGGATTCCCCGATGAGTCTGAGGCTCATTAATATGCATGAGGGCTCCACGTGAACCTTTTTATTGGACTTTAGCATTTAACCTTACTGTAAACTACCAACCAATCAGATCAACTCGTGCCACGTTAAATAAACACTTATTTCAAGTCAAGTCCAATTCAGATCTTGGTTTTGAAAGTACTTTTAGACTTGTTTTTAGAGGTGGAGTGATGAAAAAGGCATTTGTGAACATACATTGTCAGGTTTTTGGGTAGAGGAATGAATTATGAATCAAATGATTTATGAAATGTTGATTACATCATATCACCATAGTATGAGAAGAGAAATTTAAACAGTTTTAGTATTGTGTTCATTAACAAAATACAACAAGACACACTTATAGCTAAGTTGTTATTGGTTTTTCATAGCCGTAGGTTGTGTGCTGTTGTATGAGAACTAAATAATGAACAAATTCATGTTTATGAAGCTTACTTTTCTTTCCACTACATTCCAAAACTTTTTAATCCACTTAATTTTAAGGAAAACATGCTGTTTCTTGATGCATTACTATTTTAAATGTTTTAAACATCAGGTCTTTCTCTTAATAAATAATAAACTAATAAATAAGTAAAATAAAATAACACCTAATTTCAGCATTTATTCTCCATATCCAGTCATCTTCTCTGAGATCAGATAGCAATGTCCGTTTCAAATTTCAGTTTTCAAACTCAAAAAAAGTTCACAAATCACATTTAACGATTCATTTATTAATTCAGCTGATTAAACTTTCAGCAGTAAACAAAACAACTGGTTTTGAACATTTAAAACTTTCAGTTTTTTACATTTTCAAAAACTTTCTTATGTTTGTTTTACATGAACGATGAGGAAACATTCCATTTTGTTGTGAGAATTTTACTTTTGAATGTTTTCTGAACATTCTGAAACAAGTAGTAACATTTGAAAAACGTTAGATAAATTAGATAATGTTTCTGCTAAAGTTTTGAGAACATTATTAAAAACCAGATAACCGAACAAACATTCTACTAACATTACTAAGAGAAAACTTGTTCATAACTTTGAGAGAACCTTTCCAGAATGTTAAACACCTAAATTGATCTTGTTCTCCAAATTATGCACAATAAAACCAGTTTCTTTCACAGAAATAAAATCTGCACGAGTTGACAATTTGTCAGTACAGTCTGCACCATCAGTATTGATATTATTGATCAATAAGCTGCACTTCTGGTTTGTCGTGCCCTCCTCTATAATCCATCTCTATATGCTCTGCATTGAACCGCCGGCTTCATTAGGTGCACAGGGGAGTATGTGCTATTAAACGAGGTTAATCAGCACTATCGATTCACAGTTAAACAAAACAGACAAAACGTGCTGTAATGTCCCAGGAGTCTTCTGCTAATGATGGTGACTTTGCTCTTGTCATTATTATCTAATTGGCTTAATAAGGCCTTATCCAATTGTGGCCAGAATGTGTGAGTGCGTGCGTGCATGCGTGCGTGCGTGCGTGTGTGTGTGTGCGTGTGTGTGTGTGTGTGTGTGTGTGTTACAGTTGCTCTTTCAACTTTCTATTCGTCAAAGAATCCTGAAAAATAAAATATCACAGTTTGCACAAACACATGCATCACAACTGTTTTCAACAATGATAAACTTTCGAATGATAGTGTATGAATGTTTAAGCCCAATAAAATAATTAGTCACACATGAGATATTAAAAATTATAGTTGATTTGAGAGTTGGGAGCATGTCAGATGCAATGGATACAGCATCTGTATTAATGGTAAATTTGTTCAAATTATTGTTATTTTTTTGTAAATTTAAAATAAAACTAAATTGCATGGACAAAATACCATATTATTGTACAAATAAAACAGAATATATGATGATTCAATTTACAGCACCTTCACAAGTTGAATAGAAAAAAAGCAAAAATACACCCGATGCATGTTCGTTATTCATCATCGTGTAGTGTAGATTGAACACACCTGAGGTCATAATGACAACTTCCAAACTCATAAACACAAACTTCCCAGTAGGACATGAACACACCAGAAATGTCTTTTAAGTCAGTAAAATTCCTAAAGGAAAATGTAGGAAAAAAAAGTTTTAAGTGAATTCTACAATTTTTTAAATCATCAATGATCATGAGCTCATTATAAAGACAAAAAAACAGAAAAATGTGTGTGCTTCTGTGTGTTCTACCCGCTGTCCCTCTTTCCAAACATGGCTAGAGCCCCCTGCAGGTCATGTTGGCATGAGAGCACATGTACTTTCTTCCGCTTATTTTTATAAATAGAAAGTGAAATAGCAAGCAATGTGCAATGCTGAATAGCTGTATGCTATATATTTAATTCACTGAGTGGCATCAGTTGTCATCTCAATTACACACTATATACAGTTTGTTTTCAGAATAACTTTATTACCGCTTACATACATTTTCAAAACTTTGCCTCTTTTTTTCAAAACTTTACACACAAATCCAAGAATTGCACACACAAAATGCAAAATACCTCACATCTCTTGCAAAACGAAGCACTGCATTCAAAATATCACAAACACATCTCAAAAAAAACACAGTTTGCACAAACACATGCATCACAACTGTTTTCAACAATGATAAACTTTCGAATGATAGTGTATGAATGTTTAAGCCCAATAAAATAATTAGTCACACATGAGATATTAAAAATTATAGTTGATTTGAGAGTTGGGAGCATGTCAGATGCAATGGATACAGCATCTGTATTAATGGTAAATTTGTTCAAATTATTGTTATTTTTTTGTAAATTTAAAATAAAACTAAATTGCATGGACAAAATACCATATTATTGTACAAATAAAACAGAATATATGATGATTCAATTTACAGCACCTTCACAAGTTGAATAGAAAAAAAGCAAAAATACACCCGATGCATATTCGTTATTCATCATCGTGTAGTGTAGTCATAATGACAACTTCCAAACTCATAAACACAAACTTCCCAGGAGGACATGAACGCACCAGAAATGTCTTTTAAGTCAGTAAAATTCCTAAAGGAAAATGTAGGAAAAAAAAGTTTTAAGTGAATTCTACAATTTTTTAAATCATCAATGATCATGAGCTCATTATAAAGACAAAAAAACAGAAAAATGTGTGTGCTTCTGTGTGTTCTACCCGCTGTCCTCTGCTCATATTGCACACAAAAAACACAGAAATTCATTTTTATCTTGTGTGTGCGCGTGCGTGCACATATGTCGGAATGGATTTGATAAAGCAGCATTATCTCCAGCCCCTCCAGCACAAGCTTTTATAGCAGGAAGGTTTGGCTTCTTCACAAACCGCTGTGTGCAGCTGCTCTGGGCAGAGGCTGATAAAACCTGCTATTGTGATGCCATACATTACCAGCTGAACTGAATGCACAATGGTTGCCCCTGGTTACACCAGTCTACTTTAACCAGACAGCAGGTGCAGGTTTCATGTGCCGCTGTGTTAAGACTCTTTCACATGACTTACATCAACACACATCATGTGCTGCTTCGACCTGTGTGTTAAAACCTGCTCTGTTCCAAAACCTAGTGATCTGCCCTGCTGTCTGCTGCCTGCATAGTGAGCATGCTGACTGAAATGGAGCAGTGTACATCATTTGACTCGCAGTTGAATTTAGTGGTAGCATGTTGGTAAGCTGCTGTAATACATAAAAATGCACAGCACACACGAATATTGGGGAAAATAGTCATTATTTAAACTACATTTACACTACCGGTAGAGGTCTGCACGGGCTTTAAAGTGAAGCCCGAACCCGGCCCGTACCCGAGATCGTCTGACACGACCCGAGCAGCACAGTTAAATTTAGAGCCCGAACCCGACCCGAACCCGATCGGGACCCGTCGGGTTCGGGTCGGGTAGCACTACCGGTCAAATAATTTTTTATGTTTTTGAAAGAAGTCTCTTCTGTTCATCAAGGCTGCATTTATTTGATAAAAAATACAGTAAAAACAGTAAAATTGTGAAATAATTATTACAATTTTAATGAACTGTTTTTCCATTTGAATATCTGTTAAACTGTAATTTATTTCTGTGATGCGCAGCTGTATTTTCAGCATCATTACTCCAGTCTTCAGTGTCACATGATCTTCAGAAATCATTCTAATATACTGATTTGCTGCTCAAGAAACATTTCTGATTATTATCAATGTTTAAAACAGTTGTGCTTTTGTGGAAACCATGATACATTACCATTTAAAAGTTTGGGATTTAAAAAAAAAGAAATTAATACTTTTATTCAACAAGGCCACATTAACTTGATAGAAAATGACAGTAAAGACATTTATAATGTTACAAAAGATTTCTGTTTCAATAAATGCTGTTTTTTTTTAACTTTCTATTCATCAAAGAATCCTGAAAAAAAATTAACTCAACTGTTTTAAATATTGAAAATAATAATAATAATCAGGAATGTTTCTTGAGCAGCAAATCAGCATATTAGAATGATTTCTGAAGATCATGTGACACTGAAGACTGCAGTAATGATGCTGAAAATACAGCTGCGCATCACAGAAATAAATTACAGTTTAACAGAAATTAATACTTTTATTCAACAAGGCCACATTAACTTGATAGAAAATGACAGTAAAGACATTTATAATGTTACAAAAGATTTCTGTTTCAGTAAATGCTGTTCTTTTGAACTCTATTCATCAAAGATTCCTGAAAAAAAATCACAGTTTCCACAAAAATATTATGCAGCAAAAAACTGTTCTCAACATTGAAAACTGATTTCTGAAGGATCGTGTGACACTGAAGACTGGAGTAATGATGCTGAAAATTCAGCTGCGCATCACAGAAATAAATTACATTTTAAAATATATTTAATTAGAAAACAATTATTAGAAATTGTGTCACACCATCCAGTGGCTGGCCCACACAGACTTTTGTTGCTGCCCTACATGCCAAGGGCATAATGGGTAGTAAGTAAGTAAGTATTAGAAATTGTAGTAATTTCACAATATTGCCATTTTATCAAATTAATGCATTGAACAGAAGTTCAAATTTTTGACTTGTACTGTAACTATTGCAATGCTTTTTGTTATTTATAGATTGATTTATTCTAATAAATGACATTTCTGAAATATTTCACTTCATATATTTGATAGATTTTTTTTTGTTTTCACTCAGCTTGTTGCATATAACTTTGTCTCAGAATTTGATGAAAGAAGGAAGCACGTCTGTGATGCCTCAACATGTTGTGTACATAGGCAACCGGTTTGGAACAGGATTTCAGTTCCATCTCTTTTTGCACAGTATGGGTTCAAATGTTATCAAGCGCACACTGTTGTCTGTGTGCTGACTGTCAATGTCACCATGCTGACTGCATGGTGACATTGAGTGAATATAAAGAGTGTTTCTCCAGTCCGGCGCCCCCTGCAGGCAGCTGTGCTCCTCTGAAATCACATTACAGCCAAACTGTGTGGCATGACAGTCTCTCTCTCTCTCTCTCTCTCTCACACACACACATACACACACACACACACACACACACACACACACTAATCTTGTTTCCTGATAGATGCGCTCTGGAGAAAACGAGAATGGCCCGTTTAATATCCAAACCCGAATGTTTCCATGCTGCATTTATTCACACATTTTTAGCACATCTCTGAAAGACTAGACTTTTACACTCTCTGAAGAAATTATAAGTGGTGACCCTTGCAAAAGTTTTTCTGGGTGTTTGCTGGCAGGATTAATTATGGTTGCTTGGCTCCCTCCATCAATGTTTGCTGTGATTTTTTCACCTGTTTTATCATCCAGTGAGTGAAAATCACTCCAGACCTGAAAGATTCCTTAAACCGTGTTTTATTGAGGAGATTGTTGTCATTTGACCGCTTTCATTTTTGTTTGCAGATATTCCGAAGAAGAAATCCGGCAGAAGGTTGGAACGTTTCGGCAGATGCTGATGGAGAAGGAGGGCGTGATAACTCGAGAAGGCTTGCACCCACGTCCACCGTGAGTCAATCACACATGATGCTTGTCAGCCAGTAAAACCGCTCTGATCTTATTTTCCACATGTAATTGAATATAGTGTGTGTTTCCTGTAGAGACAGTATCGGATAGCGTTTGTGTGTGACATTGTATTCCTGTTATTAATGATAACGCTGACCAGCACTGATAGAAACCATCCATAACACACGTCTCAGTGCCAGTGAATAGATACAGCATGTTTAATAGATACGTGTACATTAAATACAATTACTAGAACTAGAAACACTTTAATTTATGTAACTCGCTGGAAAACCATTTAGCTAAATAATGCAATGCAAAAATGCTGCACAGGGATTGAAATGAATCATTTCTCTTTCTGGTTCATTTACATGAACTGTCTGAACAAACTGATTCACTAAAATGAATCTTTGGGAAGTGCATTCTCTATTTTTTAGCTACCGATGAACAGAAGCACTAGTGCATCAAAATGAAGTGCAACTGATGAACATTAAAGGCTTTAGCTATATAGTGGATTTTATAATCTGTTGTTGTCATGGAGGATAATGGGAAATTTAGCTTCGTTGCCTATAGCGTAAAGACAAGCCATAACGTTGGCTTACATGAAGTCATGTTGAAATAGGTTCATAAATAAGATGTCATGTTTTGCCGCATATAGGCTGAATGTGTTTGTTTCAGCAGGTACACAAACAAACTTTCTTATAGCTTGTAGGTGCAGGTCCTTTATCAGGCGCAGAAGAAGGAGATGATTTAATACTCTCTACAGATCATAAATGACCCTGCGTTAATGCCGTAGCACAGCCCAGAGGAAACCTCAGCGACCGTACATCACCTCCTTCACCCAGAGACCAATCTAATAAAAAAGCCTTTTCATCTTAAACCTAACCTCCTGTTCTGGCCATTCTGCACACAAGAACTCAGAGCCTGAGCCATTATAGCTCCAGCAACACAACATTTCTGCTATATCTTACAAATTTTCTGTTCTAGCCGAGGACCCTTATGTTGTCATTTAACCCTTCCGTTCGGTCACAAAACCCTTGTATTGTCATTTAACCCTTCTGTTTTATCACAGGACCCTTATGTTTTGATTTAACCCTTCTGTTCCTTCATAAGACCCTTACAGTACAGTATGTTGTATTTTAACCCTCCTGTTCCATAACAGAACACTTATGTTGTCATTTAACCCTTGTTCCAACATAGGACCCTTACAGTATTTTGTCATTTAAACTTTCTGTTCTGTCACATAACCCTTAGATTGTCATTTAACCCTTAATTTTCATCACAGGGCCCTTATGTTGTCATTTAATCCTTCTGTTCCATAACAGAACCCTTATGTTGTCATTTAACCTGTGTTCCATCATAGAACCCTTACAGTATGTTATCATTTAACCCTTCTGTTCTGTCACAGAACCCTTGTATTGTCATTGAACCCTTCTGTTTCATCATAGGACCCTTACAGTTTGTTGTCATTTAACCCTTCTGTTCTGTCACAGAACCCTTATGTTGTCATATAACCCTTCTTTTAAATCATAGAACTGTTAGGCTGTTAATAAAAAGCACTTTTGCAGAAGCAGGATGGTGACATTTATCACTGCGATGAAGAAGCTGATCATTACATTTTTAGATAAGATCGCCTTTAGTAGTGGAATGCTAATTTATTTAATCAAGACACATGTTAGGAAGGATAATGAGGATAAGTTAAGGCTTTATAAAAAGTGAGTGTGACAGAAAAATAGATCTGTTAGTACCTTGCCTGGAATTCTGTGAAGTTTCTCATTATCAGCTCACATTGTATAATCACCTTTATTCTGTTTCAAATAAATAATTGTTTCTTTTTTTGATATAGAAGTTAGTGGTATGGGAAGATAAATAGATGTTGACTTAACCCGGAGAAAAATATTTTTGCTCACAGGTTGCTCTTTCATAGACCAACTTTGTCTCAGATGTTTTTTAGTTTTTTTAAAAAAATCCCTTATAAAAAATAAAAATGAGCCAAGAGGTGACAAACATTAGAGTATAGAGTAAAATGAAGACTTTCAAATCTGAGCACAGACATTGAGTCAGAATAGCTCATTACTGCATTTTAGACCAGAGCAGGTCATGACCTTTGACCTTTACCTCCTGTATGCACAGGGTTAGGCTGCTTCCTCACGGGGATGGAGATCACGTGGGAAATGCTGCGTACGTCGAGGGCTATGAGGAAGACTATGATTGGGATGGAGAATATTACGAGCAAGATTCAGCTGCCTACGATGACTGCAGGTAAAAAGCTGAGAAAGGAGCTCTGAGCTCAACACCTACACGCCGAGAGAAACGGAAAATAAATGAATGAATAAAATAAATGCAATTAAGAAAATGATTTAAATTTACATAACTTTACTTTATAAATACTACTGAAAACATCTCCTTTATGCAGTTTAATGCAAAATAACTACACTTCTCACATTATAATCACTGAAGCTCAATCCAGTGGTTGCCGCTGTATGCAAACATACAGGAAACACAGGACACAGGAAAAACAACAACAACAACTGCAAGCCAGGTGCTTTCATTCTGAAAAACAACAACAAGACGCTAGCTGATGATGAGAAAAATAATGCAAAGCCAAAATATAAATAACTTTACTTTCCAAAAAGTATTAACAATGTAACAGAATGGATTACTTGTATTAAGTATAACATAATGTAAAACGTTAATAACTTTCCCCAACAATATATACTGTATGTATATCCAACACTGCATTTGTTTTACTCCATTTCTGGTCTTCTACTCTAGATCCAAGATGAAATCCAGCAGTTCACCTTCTCCTCGGCCAAAAAAGAGGAAAAAGAAGAAGGCAAGAAGACACAGTCGGTCAGTTTGCTTTCTGTGATTTAATGCAATGCAGCGTCATGTACTGAAAAGTCAGCCAATGTATACTGTGCATAGTTTGCAAATGTTCTGTATGCAATGCATAGAATACTTAAATAACCTAAGACACCGGCCAAACGAGCAATATACAACAGAAACCCTGTGTCCAACAATGCAGTGAGCTAAAAATGAACCTTTAACTGCCAGTGTGATCTCTCACATTGAGTTTTTTGAGCCAAAAAATCGAAATTTTATATTTAGAGGTTTGTTCAGATTACACAAATTCTAAGTATAAGCAGTAGTACTAGTAATTCTTGACCTATTTTATCAAGAAACAAAAAGAGTTTGAGAGCGAAAAGGGTCAAGAGGAACATTTAAATATAATACAGTGAAAAAATGGAAGAAAATGATGGTATGTGCTTGTGTGATATTTCATCCTGCAGTATTGTTGTTGTGTTTGTGTGACCCACAGAGCTGACAGCCCGTCTCCAACCCGCAGAGACAAGAGGAAGAAAAGCGGAAAGAAACACAAGAGAGACAGGTGTGTGTGCGTGTGTGTGTGTGTGTGTGTGTGTGGTTATTCATTCACACAGGTGTACATCATTCACCGATCAATTAACACTGATCTCCCTGCCAATATTCATTAGATTATACTGTATACTGCAGTATGCAAACTTTCAGTATTCATACCACACAAATACCAATATGACCTACTACATTAGTCAAAGTGTGCATTATGCACAAAACACACTACATGAGATACTGTATCCTACAATGCAATGCATTAAATCTAACACAAATATACTGACCATAATATTATTAACCACTATTTTAAATATGTTTTATCACTTTATTATATCTTCTTGACCTTTTATTTGCTTAGATTGCCTTCGATCGGTTTTATGTTTATACACAAAATTGGATTAAAAATGCAAAATAACATTTGCATTTTAGATGAAATTGAACATGCAGCATAGAGAAATGTTGCAGTGATGCACATTGTTTTACGTACTTCTTTATATAGTAGGTATTAAACAGTATACTTTAGGTGGCACTTTTGTATTCTAAACATATAGTCTCAGAGTCTAATTTTAATCTTTGACAAAATAGAAACCGGCTCTTTGAAGATTTAAACTGTTCTTGTTCATATTTTATTATCAGCGTTTGTGTTTTGACCAGAAGCATCAAGGATTAGAGCAAACTCAACTCAGTGTCCAAAAATAGCACCAGACATGAACAAGAAAAGCCTGCTTTACACAAAGACCTTTCTGCATTCATCAAATATTCATGATATTATGTCAGAAATATCTGCAGTGTTTGGTGCCTTTGCAGCCTTAAAAAATAAGGCTTGTCTAAATATTGATAACCGGACGTGTCAGCATTTTAGATGCTTCGGTTTCGGTCTGTCTTTCTATTATTATGCTTAGTGTGTATATCTGTGCATCACTATACAGGTTTCTTCTGAGTTTCCTCTTGTCATGACCTCTACTCTATTAAAATTCATAAAGCGTTTTTTCACACAGCAGTTTATTTTGAACATGCTATATGATTCTCTGTATAGTGGTCTTGATATAAAGTTAGCAATGCGCTAGCAATACCAAGGTCATGTATTCAATTGCCAGGGAACTCATGCTGATAGATCATTTTTATTAGTCTCACGTTACCCTGACGGCTTTATTACAGCTTTCTTCTCTCATGCCGTTTTTCCTATATCAAGAAAACATGACAGGACTGACAGATGCTTGGGTGCTAGTGTATCTGTTTGTGTCAGATGTATATAATAGCGAACACACTACGGAAACATGGTGGATCCTTGTGTAGATGTCTTATCACAGCAGCTTCAATGCTGTCAGACTGTGTGTGAGGGGAAAAAGTGTGAAAGAGAGTTTAGAAAGTCAAGTATTTCTCCTTTCAGTATAAATTGAGCAAAGACGTTTAAAGGTGAAAATGTGGTATATGTGGTCTTATTCTGTGTTGTTAAATCACCCAAAAAATCCGCAAAAGACCCAAAATCTTCCAACTAAGGCAAAAGTTGGTAAGACAGATATATTTTAACCATTGTCTTTAACACAGCATAAAAATATAAGGATATTTCAATCACATTTAAAAATGAATGTCACTGCATTAGATATAAAATATCATTTAAATGCCACATCATCTTTTCTTTTCACTAATGCCACTTTTCTTCATTATTTTGCTCAGTGTCTTTTAATCAGCTGGTATTTGTTTGATTTGTTGTGGATGTCTGAAGTCAGTTATCCTTGATTTATTAATGGGCAACAACACAAGATCTACCGTTTTATCGTAACTTATTTTTGTCAAGGATTTTGTTTGAAAAGCATGATTGTGCATCTCTCTTAACTCTTTCCCTGCCAGCAGTTTTATTCTAGCTTCATGCATTCTTTTGTATCAACACTTGAATGTGGGTAAGTTTAATTAAAAAGCAACATTTTGAACAAAAAAATGCTTTACTACATTTAAATAGTGCGTCCGGTTCAGCACCGTCCTATACCACTTCCTGGATCGACGTTTCATTTGGTAATGTTAGGCAGTTTTGATTTATATGCTGTTTAATGTTTGATGATTGCGTCATTTTACAAATGCATCTACTTACATATGCAATAATTAGTTTCTGCTTCTTCTTCACCTGTGTTTTGATCCAGAGATTCAGTACTCTTTCAGAAGATGTGTAATAGCAGCTTCTACCATATAACAGTGAAAACACAGAAAGCTGGAAACTTCCATCAGTGGCGGGGAAAGAGTTAACAATAAATGGCTTTTATATTCCAGTATCTAATGCATGACATTCAGACATTTAAGTCTGACTTCAGTGTCCAAATACTGAATGCTGAAGCCCTTAAACTACAAAATTTACTCATATAAACAGCAGCAGTTCTCTGATAGTCATAATCTGATATCTAACCCAACATTTCCTCTGTGTCAGGTCCACATCTGGCTCAAGGAGGAAGAGGAGACACAGGTAAACACTGAGCTGACCTATGATCCTTTAGATTTTATGGTTTGGGAACTGTGCTGGATTAGTTTTGCAGAGCCAACATCCACTTTACAGATTTTCAAGAGCCATCCATTGACATTTAAGACCTAATGCTCCACACATAAGCTCTAAATTCAATTCTTATTTAGTTATATGTGTTTGTTTTCTCCTTTCAGATCTGGGAGCCCCCAAAACAAACACAACGACAAGAACAAACAGAAGAAGAGGTGAGGGACGTTTATTCTGCTGTTTGCTTTTCTAAAAATTCTCAATGTTCAGAATTATGCTTTCGTGCATCATAATGCCTCAGCCTGACAAAGAAAATCCATTGCACTGATTACAGAGTTTAATGATTTAATTATATTAATGTTCTAAGCAATCAGAGTTGTGATTTTTCACTTGGGATAGTAAGCAAGCACACAGCAACCATCTAGAATACCTTAGCAATTACCTATCACTGACAACCACTTTAAAACTACATAGCAACACCCTGGCAACCACCCTCAACACCCTTGTAAACATCTAGAATGCCACAATAACCACTTAGCCATTCAACTACATAGAACATTTTAACAACCACATAGAACCACCAAGGCAACCACCCACAACACCCTAGTAACCATCTAGAACAACCTAGCCACCACCTAGCAATGCACTGACAACCATTTGAAACATTTTAGCAATTGCATAGCAACACCATAGCAACCACCCACAATGATCTTGTGACCATCTAGATCACCCTAAAAACCACCTGACATTGCACTGACAACCAGTCAAATCAAAAGCATAGCAACAACCTGGCAACCACCCACAACACTCTAGAAACCACCTAGAACACGCTGGAAACCACCTAGCAATGCTGTCAACTCAGAATTTTTGAGCAACCACATAGCAACACCGGCAATCACCCACAACACCCTAGTGACCATCTAAAATGCCATAGTAACCATCTAGCAATGCACTGATAGCCACTCAGAACATTTTAGCAAATGCATAGCAACACCCCAGCAACCGCCCACAACACTAGTATTCACCTAGTAATGCTACTAATGCATTACAACACCCTAGTAACCATTTAAAACTCCCTAGCAACCACATGGAAACCACCCACAAAAACTGTCTAAAACACCCTAGTAACCACATATCAATGCTTTGACAACCACTCAGAACCTTTTAGCAACTCCATAGCAACACCATGGCAACCACCCACAACACCACAGTGACAATTTAATGCACCATAGTAACCATCTAGCAATGCACTGACAACCACTTGGCAACACTCAGAACATTTTAGCAACCACATATCAACACCTTGGCAACCACCCACAAGAAACCGCCTAAAACACCCTAGTAACCACCTAGCAATATCTTGACAACCACTCAGAACTTTTTAGCGACTGCATATCAACACCCCAGAAACCGCCCACAGCACCCTATTAACCACCTTGCAATGCACTGATAACCAGTCAAAACATTTTAGCAACTGCATAGCAACACCCTGGCAACTGCCCCCAACACTCTAATAACCATTTAAAACTCCCTAGCAATGCCTTGACAACACTCAGAACGTTTTAGCAACCACATAGCAACACCCTGGCAACCACCCACAAAAAACTGACTAAACCACCCTAGTAACCACCTAGCAATGCACTGACAACCACTCAGAACATTTTAGCAAACACATAGCAACATCCTAGCAACCACCCACTACACCTAATACTCACATGTCAGTGTAGGCCGAATGCATGGATTGTTTATGAAAGGATTGATGACACAGACTGTGAGGTGTATGATGAAGCGGTGTGGGAGGAGTGTGTGTGGTGTGACGTGTGTTTGTGTGTGTGTGTCCCGCAGGTGTTCAGTGGAGTCTCCCAGCAGGAGTTCTCAGCACAGAGGGCCAATCACGTGGCAGAATGGGAACCACAGCGTCCGTGTACGCAATGGCAAAGATTCAGGAGCCAATCACACGGAGGGGAATAAAGGGAACGATGTATGTAGTCTCCTCTACTTTACCTTCATCTGTTCTCTGCCGTTTACACTACTAATCCTTCAAACACTCTCTCTCTCTCACACACACACACACACACACACGCCAACTGATTCAGTCGTATCTGTGTGAGCTGACTCTATATCTATTTTCCCTCTTTGGCTCCATTTTGTGAGTTTTTCTGTTCTCAAGCCATTTATGTGTTTGTTGGGAAGGGTTTTTGTTTTGTCGAGACAGATGTCCATTATTTTCTTTCATTATTTTTTTAATAATGTCATGCTTTATTTCACGCACAAGCCATTTTTCTTACAGTGGAAACTAAAATACAACCAATTGTTGAGCATGTGGGATTTCATGGAAGCACCAGCTCCATCCCGAAGGCACAAACTTGCGAATTGTCTTGCGACAATTTTTTACATAAAGCATCTGTTGCTAATAATTCAATAGTTTGTGTTGGATAACATCCCACGAAAGAGACTTTTGATGCCTCAACCAGATTAATTAAAGATATTTTGGTAACACTTTTGCTTCATTTGTTAACATTAGTTAACTAAATTAGTTAACATGAACTAACAATGAACAAAGTAAATGGGTGCCGTCAGAAAGAGAGTCCAAACAGCTGATAAAAACATCACAATAGTAATCCACACAACTCCAGTCCATCAGATAACATCTTTAGAAGCCAAAAGCTGCATGTTTGTAAGAAACAAATCCATTGTTAATGATGTTTTAAATTCAAACTGACTAAAATACAAGTCCATAATCCATAATAATGCTTCCAGCAGTGAAAAAGTCCATCTCCTGTTTGTCTCTTTACATCAAAATCCACTCATATATTTGTTTAGAACTGTTCTGAACTGTTTTGGCTTGTAAGCGGTGCTTGATCTGTGCAGATTTCTCTCCTGATTCAGATTAGATGACTTTTCACTGGAGAAAGCAATATTATGAATAGAGGACTTGTATATTAGCCGGAAGCAATGGTTTGAAGTTAAAACGTCATAACGATGGATTTGTTTCTTACAAAAACACAGATTTTGTCTTCTCCAGATGTTAACTGATGGACTGGAGTGGTGTGGATTACTTGTGGATTATTGTGATGTTTTTATCAGCTGTTTGGACTCTCATTCTGACGGCACCCATTCACTGCAGAGCATCCCTTGATGAGACAATGTGATGCAATGCTACATTTCTCCAAATCTGTTCCCATTAAGAAACAAACTCATCTATATCATTCTTGGGTGAAACAATTTAAAAAAGATGAATACTGTTGCTAGGGAGTTTTAATACTGTGAACAAACAATAACTAATTGTATTTCTATTAACCAACATTAACAAAGATTAATAAATGATTAAAAATAAGTTGTTCATTGTTAGTTCATGCAACAAATGCATTAACTAATGTTAACAAATGAGACCTTATTGTAAGTGTTACTGCTATTTTGAATATCAGTCTAAACTTCATATATAAATCATAAACAAACACTTTTTGTTTTGTAGGTTTTTCTTATCTTGTACATTTTATTGTATACCACAAAATGTCAGCGCAGTGTATTCAAAGACAGTGAGGAATGAATCTTTTATATAGTAATAACACCACATTAATTGCATTTGTGCTGAAAAGAATGACAACAGTGTAATTTAAATATGCATGACATATTTTTTATGTATTCATACAGTCACACAGTGTCTAATACGGCCACAAGATGTCAATTATTCAGCTAATCTTTGACCTGTGTTTGGAGAGATATCAGATATCTGGTCATACTTACTGTATCTGGGACGGTTTGCATGCAGTCTTTCAGAAGTTCTCATGCTCTCTTTCTCTCTCCTTTCATTTGCTGAATTCATCCCTCTGTTTTGTTGATTTCTTGACCTCTATGAATTCACATGATCTCTTCCCACAAATAAACGCCCAAACTTTTCTGTCTTGTTTGTGTAAAAAGCACTCATATGATTTGGAACTGGACCGAGTAGATTAAATGGGTATGTCTACTAGTTTTTCTTGTCAATACAGTTGAAACTCTCATTTTCTGCTCAGTTTTACCATAGCACCCTTTTCCAGATGTGTATCAGGTGTTCTAAGAGCCGATGATCTGTGACCTGCAATCAGATCGTCCCTTATTATTGATCATTTTCTGTAATGTAAGGTGAAGAACTGTTAATCAAGAGATGGTTTTCATTGACCAATCCCTCAGACGCTTTTAGCCAATCAGCTGTCATTCCTGGTTCTGCTGAGAGGATGAATGAGTCTGAATGTTACAATCACAGATAGGAAATATGTGGATGCTGCATTTGGCTGATCTGGAGTTGTCATTAGCACCGCCATCTTGGAAAGGTCAATGGATTGAAACATTATATAGTCCTTTATAAATAGTTTATTGTATTCTTCAGTTTATGGAGTGTGTTTTAGATTAGGAATGTACAATTACAATAAAATGTATTATTATTATTAACAATTTAAAAAATTGTTTTAATTTAATTATTTTTAAATTGATATAATAATTAAACAAATTAAAAATAATAGTAATAATAATTATTATTATTAATCCATAAAACTGATATTGTTGGGTAAATGAAGGAATGCCAGTTTGGACATTATGATTTTTATGGCTATATTTGTTACTATATCTAAAAACCTGTGTTTGTTCATTTTATTTATTTATGGCCTTATCGCTTTAATTCGAAACTTTAAGCAGTCAGAGCTCTATAATAACTGTACAGAGTGTTTTATCAATCCTCATTTTGTTACATTTTTAATTTTAGATCATCTGCAATAAGCGGAATTGTATGGTGGTATAATTCATATTGATCTTTCCAGTAATTAGAATGGTTGCTAATTTGATAATGCTTGTAAATACCAATAAGAGAGTAATTCTGCATCATTCCCCCAAATTTTCGTCCAAAACCAACATAGAAAATGCAAAAAAATGCATTGTTAATGTAGCATCTATATCTGTGGTCACAACAGGCTACAGATTCATGAATTCTCTCTTGGGTAAAGGCTGACATATCTCCACTGACAAGAGCCGGTTCAGTGCCATTGGTGATTTCAGATGGTTTTTAATCGACATGGTTTCTAATGCTCACTTTTCACTAGCACTTGATATGTATAAATATACATTCTTATAGTATAACTAGGTGTTTGTTTCCTTCCTGTCAACATTTGAGTGGTGTAATGTACGTCTAGATGTGTGACAGGGACAAACGGACGCTCTGTAAACATTAGCCGACAGCCAACTACGCTAACTAGGGTCATTTAGTAAAGTTGTTACACTAAAAGGGACCCAAGCCATTTGGATTCTTTTCCTAAGCGAATGTGGCATCTTTGCATCCTTTGTGAAAGACTTTTGACAATTGCTGAGAGCAAAAATCTACTCTTAGTTTTAGCAAGTGCCAACAAACGAGCACTAAATTCTCATTGCGCAGACCGATCGATAACGATACGGCTTAACGAACGTGACTGGGGTCCCTTTGAGATGTTAGTCGTCCATCCTAGAAGTGACCACCCTCCACCCAACACCCCTCTCCCTTCACCCGTTCATGTGTGCTGTCCGTTGTCCCGACATGCTTTCTCTTTTCCCATTAAACCACATTGCGCATGCATGGCCATCGATATTTACGTTCCTTCTAGCAAATTGGATTTGTTGAGATTTTGTCGCTCCTTAACTTACGGTAGAATGTGGCTGCACATGTGTCCAAGCGAAAAAGACAGCAATTTCTGATTCATTTCGTTTTTGGGTTCTTTGTCGTTGTTGATTTTTCCTTTTGTATGTCCACACTTTTTTTGTTTTGTTTTGCTTCGTTTTGTTGGAATTGTCTCCTTTAGTCTGTGGATCAATTATCTTAGCCTGGATACTAAAAGAATTCATTGTCTTTTTCCCATTTGGCTGCGGAGAATTTTCCTTTCTCCTTTTTGTTTTTCCTTTTTCTTCCTTTGTTTTGTTGATATTGCATACGTGTCACTGATTGAAGCGGAAGGTAGGTAACGCTCTGCCTACGCACGTGGAGAATGTGACAAGCACCCTAGCTTGACATCAGTGTCTCTCTCTCTTTTTCCCTTTGTTTATCTGAGGAAAACCAAAGGTTGGCGGGTTGTTTTCATTGTTTTCTTTTTAGAAATGTTTGCTCTATTTTCATTCTTTTTTTTGTTTCAATCTGAAATCTACCTTTGCTTTCATGCTTCAGTCTTCAGTACACTGCCCTCCCCACAGGTCCATCTCTTGTCTGCGTTTTATTTGATTTTTCTTATTATTTTTTGGTAGAATGCATTTCCTGTCTGTGCCGCATTCCTTTTGTCTTTGGTGAAATGGTACGTGTCATATGATTTGGTCACTTTCCCTCCTTTTTATTTTTTGGATACACAAGGGCTGTTTCTGAAGTATCTGGGGTTTACGTTCAGCTGTGTTAATTTTTTTTTTTTTATATGATATTATTATTATTTATTTTTTTTGGTTAAGATAATGTTTGAGGTCGATCAGAAATCCTTGCCTTCCGATGGTAATAAAAAAAAGAAACAGATGGATGAATAGTTTAATACATACAGTAGACATTGCTTTGCTCAGTGTAATCTTTTAGCCACAATTTTCAATTGTGCTGCTAAAGATGATCAGTCTCAGCTGTGAAGTCTTTTTTAAGGACCCCATGAAATTAAAATTAAAGTTTTGTGGTTTTTGGTTTACGTGTGTGAATTTGAGCTGATCCATACACTGAAAACAATTTGGTGTAGAAACAATTTTCACTCGGATATTGCTAGTAAATTACACAACCATCAGGTAACATATTAAATTGAATGTGAAATTTTGATTAGATCATATTGCACCTCAAAATCAAAAAGAAAAATAAATAAATAAATAAATATGTATGTATTAATGTATATATAAATTATATATTTTATATATGTGGACAGCTTTTTATGAGCCATGTTGCTTGGTCACTTTCCCATTGAGAATGGGTAACAAATTTCAATCTGGATATTTTAGATCGGTTGTGGGCCCTGTATCTCACCTGATTGCCTGTTGACGACAACATTGCCCAAAGATGCCGACAACATTGTTCAAAAAGTTGCTCCGTGTATCATCAGCCTTAGACCCCCGATCTGTACACACTCCATCCCCCTGCTCCGCCTTAAGATCCTGTTAATGAATATAAAAAACAGGATTGGTGACAGGGAACAGCCCTGGCAGAGTCCAGCACTCACTGGGAACAAGCCAGTAGTATGCATGAACCTGGATGAACCCAGCACCCCATACTCCCGGACCACCCCCCTACAGTATAAGCAATCCCGGGGAACACGGTCATAAGCCTTCTTCAAATATACAAAACACATGTAGACTGGATAAACAAACTCCCATGCCCCCTCCAGGACTCCTGCCAGGCACTGTCCCAGATTCCCACGCGATGTTGGACAAGTGTGTCAACCACAAAAGCCCAACTTCATCCAGGGCCTTCAGCTTCTCAGGGCACCTTGCCACTTCTCCTCCCACACCCTGAGTCTTTGCTTCCCTGACCACTGTGGCTGCAGTCCTTCTAGCCTGCCAGTACCTGTCGGCAGAATCGGGAGACCCACAAGTCAACCAGACCCGAAAGGCCTCCTTCTTCTGCCTGACGACCCCCTTCACCGCTGATGTCCACCAGCGTGTTCTTGGGTTTGCTGCCACAACAGGCATCAACAACGTTTCAGCCACAGCTCGCAGCAGCCATTTCCGCAATGGAGGCTTTGAACAGGGCCCACTCGGAGTCCATGTCTCCAGCTGTCCCCGGGAGCAAGGAAAATCTTCTCCGGACATGGGGAGTAGAAAATATTCCAGACAGGATCCTCTGTCAGATGTTCCAAGTTAACCCTCACTATTTGTTTGGGTTTTACCGGGTCTGTCCGGCAGCCTCCTCTGCTATCTTATCCAACTCACCACGAGGTGGTGATCAGTTGACAGCCCTGCCACTCTCTTTACCCGAGTGTCCAGAACATAAGGCCACAGGTTTGATGATACAACTAATGTAGCCGATCAAAACCTTTGACTCAAGGTGGTCTATTACCAAGTACACTTTTGAACCACCTTATGTTCGAACATGGTGTTTGTTCCATGCTGAGCACAGAAGTCCAATAGCAAAACACCCCACGGGTTCAGATCAGGCAGGCTGTTCCTCCCAATCTCCCCCTCCAGGTTTCTTCATCATCCCCAACACGAGCATTAAAGTTGCCCAGCAGAGCTATGGAGTCCCCAGGCAGTACCCCTTCCAGGGCTCCACCCAAGACCTCCAAGAAGGCTGGATACTCTGAACTGTATTCCGGTGCATAAACACAGAACACAGTCAGAGCCCCCCCCCACCCCCCCCCACCACCCGAAGTCTGTGAATTTTCCCAGCCCTGCTTGGCACCTCTCACACTGAGCGACTCCGGAGAAGGAGAGAGTCCAACCCCTATCTAGGAGTTTGGTTCCAGAGCCAGAGCTATGCGTAGAAGTGGGGCAAATATATCTAGCTGGTAACGCTCAACCTTCTGCACTAATTCTGGCTCCTTTCCCACCAGAGAGGTCACATTCCATGTACCAAGAGTTTGCAGGGCCCCCCCTGCTTGCCACCCATAGTACATCGCACCGGTCCCCTACGGTGGTGAGCCCACAAGGAGATGGCTCCATGAGCCCGGCCACCAAGCTTGGGTCCAGGAGAGGACCCCGGTATCCCTTTTCTGGACAGGGTCTCACTATCCTGACTCCTGTGTACCATAGGGGATTATTGGGGTGGGGGTGCATATGTGTAACATTATTTTGTATATAAATATAAATTGTAAAATAATGATAAATATTATTATAATTATATTACTAAAATATATTACTTAAATTAAAATAATCGATTACTACCATTCTGCATATGTAATATTTTATTTTTATTTATTTATCTATCTATCCATTTTGCATTACAGTAAAGGAAGTTTGAGGTACAGTATGCTTATTTTCTCAATTAAAATATTTTATGTAAAATATGATTTTTCATTTTTGCATTAAAGAAAATAAGATATTGACTTAAATAGGCTTCATTGACTTTATGCAAAATATGATTTATTTTCCTTTTCCTTTGGTTATGGGGTACATTATGACACAAACACGTCCTTGATAGGTTTTGGCTATTAAAGTATCCCCGGTATTGTATGTGCTACTGCAACTTTCTGTTTCAACAAGAAATGCATGAACAGAAAACAACCGCTTGTTGAGCCATTTCATGGGGTCTTTAATTCAACTGATGGATAACCCATAATGCACATTCAGTTAAAGGTTTTTACTGAGAAACTGTTGAAACGAGAGCATCCATTCGTAGCACATTACAGTCACTCTTGAAGCCTTAAAACCGCACCGAAGAGTGAACCGCTGTTAAAATGCACTCAAACTGTTCGCGTTCCAGCCCACACACTGTGAGATCCATTAGAATTTGATTTCTTCTGTGTCTTTTTCTCTCTTTGGTTTGATTTTCATGCATTGTTTCATACTCACTATCCAGGGAAGGGTGTTGTGTCTTTTTCTCTTGCATTTTGTGAATCTAATGATGCACTTATGTTGCCCCACTTTTCCCTTCTCTTCATACCTTACCTACTAAAGGAGGGAATACCACTTTATTGGTAAGTGGATGTTAACCAAAAGGGAGTTGAAAAACAGAATAACCTTTTAAAAAAGCTATTAAAACAGGAAATGGGTCGCTGTTCACATCTCAGCAATTGTCTGCAGGACAAAACAAATCCACAAGCAAGTTCTATTGAGTAGAGGACCAATTGTTTTCTAATTTGATTGAATCTATTCTTGTGACTCTTTATTTCGTTCCTTCCATTTCTGTGATGTTCCGTCAAGTTGTCTTTTTTATTTTCTAGTTTTATTTTTCACCTTTTTTTTGTTTGTAGCTCTTTCTGAAATTGAAAAAGTTATTTTTCTCCTCTACTGTATATTCTCCAGTCTCTGTCGCTCTTTATATTCTCTCTAAACTTTTTTCTTTCAGAGTTTCGCATATTTTCACTCTCTCCCTTTTTTGTTTCGATTTTCCTTCAGGACTATTCTTTTCAAATCATTATGGTTTTGCATGCCGAGTATTGCATGCGCTGCACAATAGAGGACTGTCTATAAGCCAGAGAACAATCCTAGCACTTTCTTTTAGATATTTTTTTGCCAAGTACACGATAACGCTCTTCCACCCAGGAGGAAAAAGTCTCTAATTTCACTGTTCTCTTTCTGTTTGTTTTTTTTTCACATTTATTTCTTTTTTTCCTTTGGTTTGTTGGTTATACTTCATCCCAAAAGGGAGTTGAAAAACAGAATAACCTTTTAAAAAAGCTATTAAAACAGGAAATGGGTCGCTGTTCACATCTCAGCAATTGTCTGCAGGACAAAACAAATCTACAAGCAAGTTCTATTGAGTAGAGGACCAATTGTTTTCTAATTCGATTGAATCTATTCTTGTGACTCTTTATTTCGTTCCTTCCATTTCTGTGATGTTCCGTCAAGTTGTCTTTTTTTTATTTTCTAGTTTTATTTTTCACCTTTTTGTTTGTAGCTCTTTCTGAAATTGACAAAGTCCTCTTTCTCTTCTACTGTATATTCTCCAGTCTCTGTCGCTCTTTATATTCTCTCTAAACTTTTTTCTTTCAGAGTTTCGCATATTTTCCTCTCTCCCTTTTTCGTTTCGATTTTCTTTCGGGACTATTCTTTTCAAATCATTATGGTTTTGCATGCCGAGTATTGCATGCGCTGCACAATAGAGGACTGTCTATAAGCCAGAGAACAATCCTAGCACTTTCTTTTAGATATTTTTTTGCCAAGTACACGATAACGCTCTTCCACCCAGGAGGAAAAAGACTCTAATGTCACTGTTCTCTTTCTGTTTGTTTTTTTCACATTTATTTCTTTTTTCCCTTTGGTTTGTTGGTTATAATTCATCTACAGAAGCTTCGATCTCTGGCTCCGTCTCCCTCGAGCACGCAGACGCACGCGTCGCCTCGTCTAAGAGGTGCTAAACACCACGCCGACCGTCCCAAGAGCCCTGGAGGACCAGCGGCGCAGACGGGAGAGGACGGCTGCGCAGACGACAGTCCGGCGATGGGCAAACCGCTCTCAGAGTCATCGGGGAGATGCGGCGGGAGGCCGAGGGTTCGAGAGAAGACGTCGCACTCACCGGCGCACAGCAGCGACACTGAGCCACACACCAAAACCAAGAATCAGAAGAAGTAAGAACATTAACATTTATGCAGATGTATGCATTACTGGTCAGAAGTTAAATAGGAACAAGTTTTTTTGTTTTTTTTAAAGACTTCTCTTCTGCTCACCAAAGCTAATCCTAAGGGTTTTGACCTAAAATACAGTCAAAATTGTGAAATATTATAACAATTTAAATTCACAGTTTTTTATGTGAATATATTTTAAAATGTAATTTATTCCTGCGATGCAAAGCTGAATTTTCAGCATCATTACTCCAGTCTTCAGTGTCACATGATCTTCAGAAATCATTCTAATATACTGATTTGAGATTGAGAAACTGATAAAGACCATCATTCAAAAGTTTGGGGTGAGTATTTTTGAAAGAATATCATACTTTTATTAAAAAGGATGGATTCAATTGATCAAAAGTGACAGTAAAGATGTTTATATTTCTACTTTAAATAAATGCTGTTCTTTTAAACTTTCTATTCATCAAAGAATCCTATAAAAATGTGTCACAGTTTCCACAAAAATATTAAGCAAAAACGTAATACTCCGAAATTGAGAACAATAAGAACCATTATTAATAATTGATCACCAATAATAACTGATAATAGCAGAGCAGCATATTAGAATGATTTATGATGGATCATATGACACTGAAGATGCTGAAAATTCAGCTTTGATCACAGCAATAAATTACATTTTAAAATATATTATAATATAATTTTTTTTAACTACTAATAAGATTTCACAATTTTAACTTGTAATAACACTTAACAATATTACTGTTTTTACTGTATTTTTGATCATATAAATTTAGCCTTGGTGAGCTGAAAAGAAACATTGCAAAACATTAAAAAAATTTAAATTATTCCAAACCTGACCAGTAGTGTGTATTACACAAAATATATTTTAAAACGTGTTTTTGCACCTTTCTGTGTAATACTGCATAAAATGCAATTAATAATCATGTTGTTATGTATGCCAAGGGTAAATTAAGCAAGCAGTGACAAATGTTAAGTTAGCTAAAAGTCAGAGAAATTAGATACATGTCCAATATATTTTTTTTATATCAGAAAGTGTCCCAGATCATAATGAAAATGTCTGATTAAATGTGATTTTCCACATCCAGGGTCAGCTTCAGCTTGAATGTAGCTGTGCAAAGATTTGCCAAAATATTTAACAAACAAAAAATGTGCTATCAAAAGTCAGAGATCTCAATACAAACTCAAACATTTTTCATGCTTCACATTCATTTTATAACTCTGTACTCTTAATG